GCCCTACCAGGCGTCCTACACACTGTTCCCTTGTCCCTAGGTTTGTTAACACTACTTCCTTTCCCCCTACCTCTCCCTCTCCCATGTCCCTCCGGAACCATTGGTTCGTTGTTTTCTCCTCCAGATTGTTTATCCCACCTATCTAGATAGATGTGCAGAGATAATAACATGCACAAAAACAAGACAGAAAAAAACAAAGCAACAAAAGAAAATAAAACAACAACAAAAAGCCAATGATAAAAAACAACAAAAAAGAAAAGCCCGTAGTTAGTTCAAGGACTGTTTGTTGACCTTTAGGAGTGTTTTTCTGGTCAAGTGTGATGGGGTGCTAAGCCCTGGCCCCAAAGTCTATTTTTGGTACTCCCTCGGCACTTCTTTGCTGTTCTGTTCATGCCCTTAGTGTTTTGCCTCGGTGTGGTGGGATCAGATCGGGCGCAATTCCCAAACTGTATCTCCAGTGTTGTCCCCTGTAAGTGTGTGAGTCAGTGCCTTTCCTCACTTGTCTTGCAAAAGCAGCTGTCAATAAATTATATACTTTTATGTCCAAACTATGGTGAAATGATCAAGAACTTCCCACTACTATCCAGTTCTGACAGTGATTGTGCTCAGGGGCTACCAGGTCAATGTCTCCCATGGTGCTGCTGGGTGGATGCTGAACCTTTTAGTTTGCAGTCAACAACTACTGTGCCACTAAAGCTCCTTAATTAAATGAAGTTATGAGTGATCCACTAGTATGGAGTTGCTTCCAATAAGGGGGACCCTCTGCGGCAGAGCAAAACTGCTTCTTAGGGCATCTAACTCTGTCCATCTTCATTGGATAAGAAAACATCTCCCCCACAAAGTAGAGAGCCTTGGGCGGGACGGCTGGTATTGATTGTGAAGTTCAATGAGGTCAGACACACCTCTATGAGCCATTTTTACAAAGGCAATTAAACTCCCCATTCAACTGTACATCAATCAAGATGGAAAATCACTTAAACTGAATGATCAAATATATCTACCTTTCCTTACCACTCCCCCACTATAAGATCAATGTCAATTTTCTGATTGGGGTGGGGGCTTAATATTAAAAGGTCCTAAGGTTTTATTAGGTAAGAACACACCCTAACATACACTGCAAACACTGAAAGAATGCAGGCAGCGTGCACATATTGTTGTGTGCTCCTGTATATGGCTGAATTCTAAGGTAATTTAAAAAATGATTCAACCCAGGGCAAAACCCTGTACACAATCATGGTCTACAACGAAAGTTTGACTCTAGTTGTCTAGTTGAATGCTCTTGGCCGCCCCTGGCCTTGCCCATGTGTTCTCATCTCTGCAAGCGCTAAGGGGAAAAAAGAACATGGCAGATGGGTGTAGAACTGCTGCATTTTTTTTAACTTAGTCCAAAGAAAAGCTTGACTTACCTCAAAGCCAAAACATAACAGAATATGAAGACCATACCATTTTTATATCCTCCAAATTTTAACTACTTGGGTATGAGTGTGCAAGTGTGTGTGTAGGCAATAGTAGTAGTATAAAAGTATAGCTTGTGACTATGCCATACATGTTTATTAGAGACACATACCAACTTAAAATTAACATTTATTTTACTTAGTACAAACATATCAATGAAATATCCTTTAAAATAAAAATAATGCAATCATAAAAAAATATTTAGCAAATACAATTAATTTTTAATGTAGAATACCTTTACAAAAGGGAGGGGGAAAATCACCCTCAATCCTGTTGTACACTCGTCTCATGAACACACACATAAAGAGGTTTCAAAAAGCCCATTAAGGGAAAAAAATGTTATCCTCTTTTCTAATTCCATTTTTCCACAAAATTTTTGAAATTCCTTCCATATAGTGAGACACACACACAAACATGTGTATACCTGAAAACTAATGACACAATGCACCTGTTAAAAGGAAAAATTTAAATATACTGAACACACTTTGTCCTTTTCACACAATCATAAATGTGCTCTGAAGTATTAATTTAGAGTGAAAGAAAAGATATCTTAGAATTTAATTAGTATGTGACTAGTCTGATACTTTGTCAAAAAATTTAAAAGTAAAGGGTTAGTCACGATGTTCACTTAAATTAGTATTAGCTGCAAAGGAAAGGCCACTAGAAAAAAGTGTTCTAAGAAAAATATGAGAGAAAAAAACTTGTTGGAAAAAGACTGGTTCTATTTGACTGTTATATAGCTCAGAAATCTATACTGTGAGCAAAGATTTTCAATCTCAGCAAATGATTTTGGGGGCCTGGTAATTCATTTGTGTAGAGAGCTACACTATTCACTGTAGATGTGGCTGCATCCTTGGTCTCTGCTTACTTGATGCCCACAGCACTAAGGCCCTTCAGACTTCCCCAGTGACAATAAAAAATGCCTCCACAAACCCAGTGGCTGACATTGGGGAGCACACCGCCCAGGGCTGGGAACTACCACTCTAGGTAGACAGTTGCATCAACTCCCACCCCTGCTGTCTAACTCTCACTCCTCTGTGCATGTTCCTTCTCTACAACTTTGGGAAGTCTTTCACAGCTTCAGAAATCTTAGTAGACACTGGCGTTCTTCCACTAAAAAATTAACCTCCTTGAAAATAAAGCCATGTACAACAATGAAGACAGAGTTAGCATTCAAAGGCTGTTTTAAAGAATAAAACCAAGTACAAAATGTGACTTAAGCAAGTTATTTTTTTAAGCAAGTACTTTCAATAAAAAAATACTATGTTCTTTACTATAATGAACTTTCTCGCATACTGAATGGAATCAACAGAAATTAAGTGAATATATATCCATTTTAATGATGTCAGTATTTAACATTTCTTATCTGAGAAGCTGGGTTATATGAAGAATGCCACGTAAGGATTGGAGAAAGGGGTGATTAACCTGCAATATGCAGAGGACCCAACCTCGTTTGCTGAAAGTCAAGAGGACTTGAAGTACTTATTCATGAAGATCAAACAATATCATCACTTATATGGATTATAATTCAATGCATTAAAAAAATCCCAACAACTGGACCAATAGACGACATCATGATAAATGGAGTACAGACTGATGTTCTTTCTGGAGGTTCTTTCTCATTTTGCACTTGATTTAAAAAAAAAAAAGTCAAAACAGTTTTTGATGATCAACTCTACCTTCATTGTTGGACCTTATATTCAAGGTGTTTTGCCTTTTTAGAGGAAAGAACTACAGCATGCAGAACTCCTTGGTATACAATTCCCAAAAATGTGACAGACTTCTAAGAGTTCTAGAAATGGAAAAGTTTTTTATTATTTCATCTTGCTTGGATCCACAATCAATGCTCAAGGAAGCAGGAGTTTTAAAAAAGTCAGACAACAGATTACACTGGGCAAATGTGCCGCAAAAGACCTCTTGAAAGTGTCTGTGCTAAAGAGCACAGATACCACTTTGAGGACCAAGGTGTGCCTGACCCAAGGGATGGCATGTTTAATTGTTCATATGCATGTGAAACTCGGACAGTGAATAAATAAGACGGTAGAAGAATTGATACATTTGAATTATGATACTAGTGAAGACTACTGAAAGTACCATGGATTGCCGGAAGAACAAACAGCTGTCTCGGAGGAAATACACCCTGAATGCTAATGCACCAAGAAGCATGCATTTACAAGACCAATGGTCTAACTCCTGTGCATACCTGAAAAACATACTGTATACACTCGAGTATAAGCCAACCTGAATATCCGCCAAGGCACCTAATTTTACCAGGAAAACTGCATTAAAAATGTGCTGAATGCCTGATCTGATCCCACCACACCGAGGCAAAACACTAAGGGTGTGGAACAGAACAGCAAAGGGAACAGAGCAACGAAGTCTCCAGGGAATGCCAAAAATAGACTATGGGGGCCAGGGCTTGGCACCCCATCAGACTCAACCGGAAAACACTCCTAAAGGCCAACAAACAGCCCCTGTACTAACTACAAGCTTTTCTTTGTTGTTGTTACTGTGTTTTTTGCATTGGCTTTTTGTTGTTTTGTTTTCTTTTGTTGCCTTGTTTTGCTCTGTCATGTTTTTGGGCATGTTATTATCTCCACAGGTCTGTCTAAATAAGACAGACAGGATAAACAATCTGGAGGAGAAAACAACGGACTGACAGTTCCAGAGGGACATAGGAGAGGGAGAGGTAGGGGGAACGGAAGTGGTGTTAACCAACCCAGGGACAAGGGAACAACAAGTGATCCAAATCGGTGGTGAGGAGGGTGTAGGAGGCCTAGTAGGTCGTGATCAAGGGTAATGTTGAAACCCAAATGAAGGCTGAGCATCATAGTGGAACAAGAGGAAAGTAAAAGGAAATAGAGGAAAGAGCTAGGAGGTAAAGGGCATTTATAGA